TAATATCTTCTTATTTTACGTTTTCATTCCTTATGATTGGCTTCCCACATCAGTGCTCAGGTTGTTTTAAATCGAGACCACTTCCTTCAAGACGCAACTCCAGAGCTGAAACCTTATCGCTGGATTGACGCCAAAAACACGTCTGCCTGGAGCCAGGTAACCTAGAAAATTCGAATTGTAGAATTATTGGAAAAAATGTGGTAGGAAATCAACCTTTTTCAAAGCTTATCTAATTCCATGTTTTTCATAATTCACCCGTAAATCTCAACTATAACTTTAGTACTTTTTTTTAAACAAAATTTCACTTCTAAATTAGTCATTTTTGGCAAATAATTATGCTTATGCTTTATCCATTATTCTTCTAAGGCTTCATTAACTTTGCATTAGGTACTTCATTTTGATCATGAAGTCGACTTTAATGGTTGTAATGGTGATGTAAATTCGCTTTTTTAATAATTTACTTCTTTCGTTTTGTTCATCAACACCAATTTTTTTCCTAGGAGCAAGTTCCAGTCGTTCTAGGTAGCAAATGGTCCAAGCCCTTTTTCGTTCTCCGCGATTTCGATTTTACCGCAATCATTTGATGAGAACGACGTATACAATAGAGACGAAGTACTCTCCGCTGTTTTCGAGAAATACTCCTTGCAGGTGGGTTCCTAGTTTCTCTTACAGGTTTTTAATCATTATTGCTCCAGTCTGAGGCAGAGCAAATGATGCTCTTGGAACCACATCCTCCTCATTCTCAAAGTAAATCACAAGCAGAGGCACAATTTTGGGTATGCTAGCATTTGTAGGATTAGGATTTTTCCAGTAAAATATTTCTGTTTCAAGATACATACCAAAGTTGAAAATGTGGTGAGCGAAGTTGTTGAAGAGCAGAGTTATTTTCTATGTCAAGTCGTTACTACTGAAGAACTTGCAGCATTTTTATCAGATAGTGTCCTTGATGATGTTACCAGGTAAATTCTATAAACAGTTTTTTATTATCAGAGAAACTTAACCAATTTGTTACATTTTGAATACCATTTACATGATAACTTTATTTTTTGAAACCTCATCTTGGATACGATATTGGAAGAACGCGAAGTATATAAGCGTGAACAAGTACATCTGCAATCGGTACGAGAAAAAGAGGAGAAGGAAAAATTTGTCCGATTTTTCGTAGAAGAAGTTGTTGATGAGGGTTGTGATCATCTCTTGAAGCAAATCATCAAGGAAGAGCTGCAGTGAGTTTTTATTAGTAACCTTGCTTCTTATATTG